CTTTATAAATGTAATTGAATATTCTTATTGCTTTTTTATTGAAAACATCAAATGTTTTCTAATGCCTTCATTAAAATTTAATTTAATTTTTAATGAATTATCGATTCGTATTCGGTATAAAGCCTTAAACCAGATTACAACAACCAATAATCTTTTTTTTTGTTTAAATCTAATTATTACAGAGAAAACGTTATTTAAAAAAAAAAAAAATTTAATACTATTATGCCATAGCTAACATAATATTTTATAAAAATGTAAAAATTGAACATTTATACGGGAAATGTTATTTGTTACATATATTAAAGTAATCACATAATGTGTTATAAGAATTATAATTTATGTTATATATTATTTTTTTGTTAGTTTTTATTACTGAGGTAACGATACAAATTTAGAGGTATACTGATCTCTATTTTACTTTAATACAACTAAAATATTAATAATGAGAATATTTTAAAAAATACTAAAAAAATATTATGGTATAAAAATAAAATATAAAAAATAAAAGATGTAAATATGTGATCTGCTTTTTTCCGACGCAAGGAATAGAAGTAGCCAAGTATGTAATGTACGATCTGCCTTCGTAATAAAATCTAACAAGCAGTACGATAGTTCGCGTGATACAATCTGACGTTATCTTACTTTCCTGAAACAGTCGTCGAAGCAGGCAGTAATGACTGGCGACTAATTGCGCGATTAAAATTCAGGCACGTATCATTCACTTCTGGGAAACATTCCAACATCGGGTTTTTCATAACATATTAGGTAGATTTGAAAAAAAAGGTGTTAAAATTAAAATAAAAAGCAAGTTTAAAATATATCACAGCTTTATGAAGAAATGTCTGAAGTGAATGGAGAAACAAGCAATTTCCTCAGCTAAGTTTATGCAATGGAAAAGTTTTATTATCATATCGTTCATTAATTTTAATTTAATCATAAAAATTACTCGATGAACAGTATTTAATCTTGCGCTATAAATGGTAGATGATATATTCCTTATGAGGATGTTTAACTTTGGTTGCATCATGAAAACGATAAGATAAAATTGATTAAATTTGTAAATATATATATATGTGTTTGTAGTTAACCCTCGGAAGATAAAATGGATCTGTTGACAATCGCAGTGCAGCTTCAACCTTTATAAATAAGCGAATTCCAATTATTTTCAATAAAACTCATACTGTTAATGTAGAGCATTTAATAATTAATGCTAATGAAAATTTTATAATAAATTATTATTGGTTAAATGCAACGCAATATGTTAGTTTTTATAAAATTTTATTTTAGTGTTCTTTCCGTTAGTCTCTCTCTCTCTCTCTCTCTCTCTCTCTCTCTCTCTCTCTCATACTTGCGCACGATCTTTCTACAATTTGCAATAGTTACGGCACTGCAACCTACAGCTCCACAAACTTGTAGAATGTTTGTTTAACTTTATCGATGTCTGATCTCCTAGAGTCTTTTGTCTGCTAATGTTCGAAATTGCGAGAGATGCGGAACAAAGCTGCAATTACTAAACTAAATGCAAAAATGATATATCGCGGGCAGCCGCTCGTGAATGAAGGGGAGGGAGAGGAGGGGGGGGGGTAGCAGGAGCGGACGGGCTATCAGACGAAAAAATTCGGAATATTTATACTCGGTATTATTAGCGCACGTCGGCGATATCTCGGTGGGCATCGCTAATTAGCCCGCGCGAACGGCGCGGGCCTTTCGGCAAACAGTGCTGGCTACTGTCTTCGACGGCTCTTCCCCGGGCGTAATCAAGATGGTGGCGCCAACCACCCGGCGAGGTCGATTCCGAAACTAATTGCCACGGCTAATTTAGCCCAACGACATATACGCACAGAGACGCCATTCTCGGGGTACCGCGTAATCGCGCTCGCGTAATCACCGTACGCCGTACGCCGTGGAGATCTGCATGGACGACATCCTCACGTAGGTGCTCAAACTTAGACGAGGACACGGACTTTGAACCGGTATCCAATATCGTAGCGTGGCACATCATTGTTTACAATTAAATGGTAAATAGTCCATTTTCCCTATTGTACAATTATACATGCAACATTTCAATGTCAATATTTTTCTATTCGT